CACAGTCGGTATTAGCAAAATGCTCACCTGTGCTCTGGTCAAAATCCACTTTGACCTTCTGTGAGGTGGAGCTGCTCCTCCGCTGAGCAACAAGGGCAGGAGACATGCGAGCAGCAGCATGAGCGCTGCAGGAGAGCTGGGACAGAAGACCTGCACAGGAACACACTGGGTCAGTTCAAAGTCACCGGTCACAGAGCAGCAACACACACGTTCAAAAGACAGGGAACAGCCATATAGCATAATTATTATAGAATTTGATATAATATGTATCAATGTGCAGTCATCTTTATAGTTTGAAGAGATCCAAGTTGATGCACGAAAATATATTTTTCTTTCGCTAATGAACAGAAAAACAGTTTCCTATGAGCTTTTGTTTTCGGAGTCTCTGTGACAAACAGCTAAAGCTAACAGTTAGCATGCAGCACATAACAAACACTTCTTTACACGTTTAGCTTCGTATTCGCTCTCAGCTCCCGTGTTGTGGGTGCGTGGAGCTGCACACACCGACATAAAGAGACGTGTACGGAGACTTTGTGCTGCGACCTTTGCTCCAGTTTCTGCAGCGCACCGTCGGCAGCAGCAGCTCGGTGTGTTTTAGGAAACAGAGACGCACAAACTCGGACTTTCTCCCCCCGAAACTGCCAAACCTACCTGTTAAACCCGGCTTGGTCCCCAAACTTGCCCTCAAAGCCATTTTCAGTCGCTCAGACAGTCACGTCCTCTCGTTTTCGTCTTTGGCGTCTGGTCTTCTTCACCGGGTCTTTTAGAAAAAGGCTTTTAGTTTGACTGTGTTGTGACCGAATAGCGCCACCTTCTGGTTGGCTGGCTTCATGATTTTAAATCCTGCCAAAGAATCTCCTCCTCAGTAACTTATTTTGTTTTTTTTCCGCTTCTTGAGCCACCAGTCATCTCTTCATGTTTTGTAAGAAAAATATAAAATAAGTGCAGCCATTTAAGCGCAAACAAACATGCAAATACAGTATATGAGGCAAAAACCGAGAGTTAATATTTGGTGTGAGGCCCTTTATCCTCCAACACGGCCTGAACTCTCTTAGGCAGCTTTCATGTTATTTCTTCAGGAATAGTTCATCTATCCAGGTCTTTTTTCTGCATTGGCGTGTTTGGGATCATTGCCTTGATGAAAAAAATTAAGGCTTAACCAATCAGACACTTTTCAGATGGTATTGCATGGTGGATTAAACTCTGATAGTACTTTTCTGAATTCATAATTCCATCAATTTTGACATGAATCCACACAGAACTGAGCTTTAGTATTTGCTGGTTTATTCCTGTTTCTTGAGGCCATGACTTCCAGATGCTGTTCATCTGCTGTAGATGGGTTTTTAGTCTTTTGTCCTCCACTTGTCCAGTTTCTTCAGACTTTTTGAGGACATGGTGCACATCATCTCGAGATTTGCACATATGATGAGTTTTTACTCGTCTGGATTGTTTTTCTCAAAGGTAATCCTTCTTCCTGCTGCCGCCTTTTGATTGTGGGTAACTATAATATTGGTACTGTTCATCTATATATTCATAAAGTGTCACAGACTACAGAAAATCACTCCTATAATTTGCCTCACTGCTCTTGTGCTCCAGTCAGTCATACTCTCTTCATTTAGACTGATGGTGACTGACTCCAGGAAACACAGGTGATCCACAGAAGCAAGACAGGAAAAACAATCAAAACATTGAGCTCAGTCTAATTAACAGACCGACATCTACACCAAAATAAACAACAGAAACTCATCGTGTGATCAATAATCACACAGCCCACTGATAATGTTTGCGAGCCGGGTATAGTGAAACGAGGGATAAAGAAAATATCCCTCCAGGATTACCAACTAGCTGATGATCCCTGATGCTCAAACAAACCCTGTATCATAAATCACCATATGATCAATAAAAAATACAAGGTGCTTAAAAGCTCCTTTTTGTATATTTCTGATCTTCAAACGCGCTAAAAACCTTCCAAATGAAGTAAAACTATCAAATAATCTAAAAATGTTCAAAAAATCAGTTTTGTGTTGAAGAGACATCAACTGAAGTTGAACTAGAGCGGGGCTGTACTTCTGTGCAAGACCAATTTGTACAAAAACATAGTACATCACATTAATGTAATTCATTATTTAACCAGGCAAGTCGCTGAGAAGCATTTTTATTCACTATGGTGACCTGGGAAAAGGAAATCCCGCCCCCCAGAAGAAATGGGGGCAGGGCTTTAAAAAATACAGCAGCAGCCATCTGAAAACATGCCTGCTGGTAAAACAACGCTCCCTCTGGGGGATTTGGATAAGCATAAGAGGATAGATGGACTAAGAAAGTCCCTTTAAGGACATTATGAGCATCATGTACTTTAATTCCATCCTCTTCTGCTTATCCAAGTCAGGGTCATGGGGGGCAAGGAGCCTATCCCAGCTGCCATAAGACGAGAGGTGGGTACACCCTGGACAGGTCACCACAGGGCTAACACAGAGAGATTATTCATGCTCACATTCACCTACCACCATTTTCAAATTAATCTAATCTCAATATCTGCATGTCTGGACTGTGAGAGGAAGCCAGAGTACCACACAAACATGCAAACCCCTGCATGGAAAGGCCAAAGCCAGGACCTTCTTGTTGTGCCACTGTGCTATCTATTTTATGGTCAAATTGTATTTTAGTAAACTGCTTCAAGTTTTTGTCTATCAAGAAAAGAACACATCATAGACTCATTTTATTGTAGAAGTACTGTGTGGCTGAAACAATTGTTTTCATCGCCAAGTCTGACAGCTAGAAAAACAACCCATTTCCATTCTGCCGGCAGCTGACCTGAGCAATGATACGACTTCCTTTAAAACGAAATTATCTCTGTAAGCTTCAAAAGCTCATAAGATGGCTCATCCCTTCCAGAAGCGTTTTTTGCTCTAGGCAAAACCTCCTTACACATGCACATTTCACCCACAGATAACATGACGACAAGAACCAACTGTTAACCCTCTGAGGTATAAATCATCATCACTGACAAACCCTAACCCTGACCCTAACTCTAACCTTTCAATTCATATGTATGTTTTTATATACTCATTGATAGGGATGGGTACCGGTATCCGGTGCCATGATGGCACCGGTTCTGACATAAACGGTAGTAACCAGACCGAAAAGCAG